TTTTGATCCTATAGATTGGTTTAGTTTTTGCCCGAGAAGCCTAATTTTTTTGAGAATTTCCAATTTTTCCTTGGTTTAAATGGAGGTCAGAGGGTTTTGGTTCTCCAGTTGTCTTCTTGACCTGAGTTAGAGCGATTATCTGACCTAAGAGAAGACAAACTCGAAGATGAAACTATTTTAAGGCCGCTTTTGTTGCTGTAGCCCGACTCCTAATTACCTCATAGATCACGTGGAAAGCTTCAAAGAGTTAAAAGACTAAACTTCAAAGCTCAATACTACAAGTATTATTATAATCAATGACCATTTATTGGAGCTTGAAATAATGACTTACCATTTTAATTTTGTAATTCCTTACCTCTTTTTCTATTTATTTGGCTATCTAACCGTCGGTTTGGTTAGAGACTAAAAAATTTTCGCCTTGGTCTCAAAACCATTTGATTGCGGCTTTATTCTCTGATAGAATGTTTGACCTGCATTTCAAGCTGTGTGACTTTGTGGATGTTCTGATGCTGTTGCCTGGTGCTACTAACTACCATGATCCCTGTCGTGGCGAAGTCGACCAACCTCTCTCCCTCTTCGGAGGTGCTGTCATAAGCTTATACGCTCCTCAAGTCGCGCATAGAAGCGCTACCTCGTCCCATCGTCCTTCTCCATGCAGATTGTGGAAATTTGTTCACTGATGAAGGTGAATCTGAAGACATGGTGTTCGAGTCTCCGAATCGCTTCTGGCCATTCCCTATTGAATGGGGATCAGACACTTTCCCCACATTCGTGGACTTCTGCACCCAAATAACCCCTACTTCTTATCACCTTAAATTACCAATTACCTTTCCTTCTTTCAGCATGACAGCGCCGATTGGTCAGGAGCTACATTTGACGTTGCCGTTATTGGTCATAAGGTACACGACGATATCTCACACACAGACGATTTTCGCGATTTCGTAGCGGAGTTTCCTGCCTGGGCGACAGTGAGTGCTTGGACCAGCTCTTACGAGACCTGGCGAATATAAGCAATGGGCGATGCGGTAACTAAGGGCGACAATGGCGTTGATTACACTGTCGATAATGATGATTATGTTAATGATGACGAGAATCAAACCCGAAACTATTACTCATTATGGATGCCATAGCTTTAATACAATTATTATTAAGAATTTTTGAATATTCTGTAAATTTTAGGGAAATGTAAACCAACGAACAAAGTGCTTGAAACTTTCTGCTGAATCAATTTTAATCAGAGCAAAAGGACAATGCCATGCTATTTATTTATGTAAATTAAAAATATTTGTAAGATTATTTGTTGTATTTTTTTATATTTATAAAAAAAAAATATTTATTATTGGATATACTACTTATTAGCTTTTATATTGATTGATTTTTTATTTTAAAATCGAAATTAAAATGATACACATTCTCAACGATTGAGACGTTATCGCAGCTTGTTTGAGGAAAAAAGCATAATTGTTTTATTTAGAAAATGATTTATTAAAAAAAAAAAAAATACTAAAAAACGCGGCTTTCAAATGAAGCCGACCAGTGTATTGGATATGACCATTCGGGAAATCGTTTCAAGAATGCTTTGAATTCATCTGTGTAGTACGATTCGTGATATTGGAGGTGGGCGCCTATGCCAAGACGTAGTGCAGCACTCTCAATGGCTGCGGCGTCGCGCTAAAAGTGAAGAAAGAGCTAAATATATTGCCTTAAATTATCTAAATTGTCGGCCACTTACATCCACCTCAATCCAAAATTGCAATGGGCTTTCAGTCATGGAGTACATGTGATATATAAAATAGGGCGTTGAGTAATTGTTCTTCAATGGCGTCTTGTCAAAGGTCCAATCAACTACTTTCGCATCCGGATAAGGGTCTATATAAATAACGACACGATCAGCCGATTTCAAGCTAAATCCATAACGCACTCTCCTATTGGTTAACGGGTGATTTTTTTGAGGTTAGGATTTTCATGCATTAGTATTTGACAGATCACGTGGGATTTCAGACATGGTGTCAAAGAGAAAGATGCTCAGTATGCTTTGACATTTCATCATGAATAGACTTACTAACGAGCAACGCTTGCAAATCATTGAATTTTATTACCTAGAAAAGTTGGCAGAAAATCCGCTTTTTTATCGACAAATTTTGTTCAGCGATGAGGCTCATTTCTGGTTGAATGGCTTCGTAAATAAGCAAAATTGCCGCATTTGGAGTGAAGAGCAACCAGAAGCCGTTCAAGAACTGCCCATGCATCCCGAAAAATGCACTGTTTGGTGTGGTTTGTACGCTGGTGGAATCATTGGACCGTATTTTTTCAAAGATGCTGTTGGACGCAACGTTACGGTGAATGGCGATCGCTATCGTTCGATGCTAACAAACTTTTTGTTGCCAAAAATGGAAGAACTGAACTTGGTTGACATGTGGTTTCAACAAGATGGCGCTACATGCCACACAGCTCGCGATTCTATGGCCATTTTGAGGGAAAACTTCGGAGAACAATTCATCTCAAGAAATGGACCGGTAAGTTGGCCACCAAGATCATGCGATTTGACGCCTTTAGACTATTTTTTGTGGGGCTGCGTCAAGTCTAAAGTCTACAGAAATAAGCCAGCAACTATTCCAGCTTTGGAAGACAACATTTCCGAAGAAATTCGGGCTATTCCGGCCGAAATGCTCGAAAAAAGTTGCCCAAAATTGGACTTTCCGAATGGACCACCTAAGACGCAGCCGCGGTCAACATTTAAATGAAATTATCTTCAAAAAGTAAATGTCATGGACCAATCTAACGTTTCAAATAAAGAACCGATGAGATTTTGCAAATTTTATGCGTTTTTTTTAAAAAAAAAGGTATCAACCTCTTAAAAAATCACCCGTTATATACACTTTTGAGGTTAGCTTGAGTTGAGTTGGTATAGGTAAGCTGGGGCTTGACGCCAATATCCAGCGCGAGGAGTTTCTATGCAATCAAAATAATGTGGCGTTCATAACTAGTTTAAATTTGATAGTTTAGCTGCCTTCACTTACTTCCAATTCAGCCAACGCGAATTGTAAAGTGGCAGTCCGCAAAATATTTCCGCAGCGCAATCTGCCTCAATCGCAGATTTCGGTTCAGCATTTTGAAAAATTATATTCTCCAATGTATTAATGCGTCTATCGACTGGTTGTACATAGTAACCGGATTCGTTTCTGTAGACAAAACCGTACTCATTGTAGAAGGTGCGAGTGGTGTGCTTGGGAAAATAAAATATGGAATTTGGATTTCAGTTACAAGTTGGTATATTTGTAACAAGTAATTGAAAGAATTAAACGTTTTTTATTCCAAGATTTTATCAGTGCTTTATAAAACAAATTATTAAACCGTCCGCCGCACCAGCAAGAGCTATTTATTTCCATTTAAGTGATGTCCGTTCGAAATATGAAATAAATCGGACCATACATATGGATTTTCCAAACATCTCGACCCCTGCGCCACCTATCGGGCAACTTTTTTTGGAGTTATTTCCTTCCTTGTATGGATTAATTCATCTTTCGTATTGTATTATCATCGGGTTCTAAGCTAGGGTTTGAAATTTCAAATTTATTGCAAGATTTGATTACACACAAGTGAAATTTAATGAAAGGGTTGTTACCGGTTCTCATTACTTACCAACACATAAACTCTTTGAGCAGCTACATCCTTCTTATAGGGGAAGCCAACGGGTAGACAAGCGATCATAATGAAGACTGAGCAAGTAACTCCAAATAGGCTGATGAAAGTTTTTGATTTGCGAAATTTGTGTAACACAGGCAGCTATGAAATAAGAAAATTATGAGAGCAGGGTCTTTAGCAATAGGCTGTATATTGATTTTTTATGTATATAAAAAGGCTCATAGTATATACCAGAAGGTTTAACTAAACACGATTAAATATTTTGTTCTATTTTCGTCTGAAACTACAAGGACTTAAGGGATAAAATCATATTAAGCAAGATGTTGAGGCTGGAAAGCTCTCTGGTTAGAATATTTTCTATGAAATGAAAGAAAGTAGCTCGGAATCATGCGAATGCGTCAAATCCTCTCCGCCTCAATGCGAATGGCAAACGGGGTAAAAATATGGAAGAAAACAAACTCTCATTCTAAACCTCATACAACTTAAATCGTATTAATTTATTTAATTCATTTAATTTTAAAAGAGCACTCTAGCCAGGCCTCTCGGCTAAATCAAAATTATAGAGCGGCTGTAAGAAGGACCTGTCAATAAACCCACCAAAGTCGACCATTGTCGCCATCACAGAAAGAAGGAAAGTTAATTTGACCCAATGGGGAGGGACGGAGATTTAGTTATGGCAAGAGATGAAGTATCTAGTGATAACACTGCGCAAATGGGGCTCAACAAAAATTTTCTACTTGTCAAAGAATTTATGATAGAACATGGAGTATCCCCCAAAAGTCAGGCAAAGTGGTTTTGACAATATCCAGAGAAAGTTACACTAATTGGTCAGTGTAGCCAGCACAGGAGCCATGCCCACTTTTCAAACGGAAGCTCGGCCATCATGGCAGGTATACCACCCATAGGCATACTAATCGAAAACAAGCTTTGCTAGAGGGCTTTGTGGCGACTTCGCAACTTAGAGAGCAATAGGGGACCTTCAAGAGCACTTGGTGGTTTTTTAAATCATTACTTGATCATCCCGTTCTCCAGCTCACGCAGAAAATGCTAACTAAATTTTCTTTCTCAATCATGTATACCGATGTACTATAGCTCGAGGATGACAACGCTCGGCCCAGTCAGCAGAAAGCTGCACCAATGTTTACAAATCCAACTGTAAAACTAAAAATTAATAAATACATTAGGTAAAAAAAAATAAATTATATTATAAGTAGTTTCGAAAGTATTCGTCAAACATAATTTGGTATATGGACCTTTTTCGAAGAGAAAAGGGAACAATTTTTTTAGCACTTCAACTTTGCTGGACTTGGGCGAGCCCAAGATATTGACCAAAAATTGTCTTCTTTCACACAGATTGTTTTTAGAGCATAATGAACCATATCTTTGCTATTATTCTAAAAAAGTGGATTTTCGGCCCAGGAAAAAGGCAATCGAAAAAGTTTTAACCTCACTTTAGAGGAATCTCGTAAAGTGGTCTGAATCTTTGGTGGGAGGGCTTGAAGTGCAATACCTCGACCGCTCATCCGCAGAGAAGGTAAGATTGTAGAAAAAACTCTGCTCAAAAAAAAGTTTTAGCATCACAAAAATATTTTTAAATGCCTTCCTGGACAAGGGGAGTATGACAACGCAGGATCGCTTGCTGCGTGGCACCAACAATACTTAAAATCCTATGAAAATCCTTCTTGTTGATGAATTTATTGTAATAGCATAAAATTCCTTAAAATTGAAGACGAGCGAAACGATATGTAAATATATAAAGATATTCTACACGATTTAGAATCATACAGCTTTCGTTTCTACCAAAAATGGAAGGGCAATATTTTTTTGAAAAAAAAAAAATAAAATGAAATTACCATTACTTACAATGAATCCGGAAAAATGTATAGCCATTATAACACATAAACCGGCAATAAGAAACTCAGGTTTGCTAGTCGGTCCATTGCGTCCCTGCATGGGTATGAATATTGTCAGGAAAGTAAATGTGAGATAAGTATAGAACCAGTACGGCGCCAGTTGGCATAGAAGATGTATGGGCAGGTATAAGTATTCTACGAAAATAAAGAAAACCAAAGTTTTTCCAAAATTTTTTTTTAAGTAAAATGGACACTTACTCTTTCCCCAAAGCCGATTTCCAACACTCAATATGACCGAGATTGTGTAGAAGAAAATTGCAATCATAGGAAAGAAAGCGGACCGTATGCCGAGTCCGGCCATAGTCAGACAAATGCCAACCAAAATAAGGCAGTGCGAATGCATGAAGCAGGCTAAAGTGTCATCAGGACGCATGTTGAACTAGGAGTAAGAATTTGGTAATGGAATATAGAAATGTGGATATATGAACCACACTCACCCTCTCCTTGGTGCAATGCATGTACACCGCCGGTAGCAAAGTCATGGCGAAGAACATGGGACAAAAGTAGAGGCCAAAGATCAGCCACGTTTCTGAGTACCAACACTCAGATGCACCTATACCGTCAATTGTCACCGCAATGAGAAAGGTGAGACCCCCAGCCACCAGTGTAGTCACAATTTGCACACCAACAATGGTTGAGAAACGAATGAAGACCTGTTTTATTGTATCTGCTCCGTCATCGCGTGACATCAGATAAATGGATATGCAAATAATGAAGACAGCACAAACAGAGGTGGTAATATTAATTATGACACCAGTTTGCTCAGTGTAGAAGATCACGAACCAGCCGAGATAATCGTAGAATACAGTGTGACCCTCCGCATAATTCTGTTGAGATGGAAGTTAATTAAAAGATACATTTCTATTAAGTAATGCCACAACTTACTTCAGGATTCTCCAATTCTGGCGCATTGGCCAACGCCCATGTCAGCGCCAACACATTCTCACCGGTTGTCTGACAAGTGCGTCGTTCGAGATTGGCATAGGTATCGTACTTGGTGTGATAGACATAGCCATTCAGCGCGTGTGCCATATCTAGGCCAGGCACCCGGCCATACTCACGAAAAATTCGGAAATCTGTGTCGGAGGGTACGAAATTGTTTTGGAATAACTCCTCAGCGATGGTGGTAGCAAATGGGCGTGGCACGCTTTGTTTGTAGTATTTCATGAGCCATGGGTGATTGGGTCCCGATTGGAAGAGTATTTCGCGGCCACCCGAACCGGCTGAGTCTAGATTGATAAGCGCTCTGTAAAGACAAATACGATATATGTAGCTTGCCTGATATGTTTTTTTTTATTAACGTTTTCCTTTTTACTCACTTGCAATACTGCGCCCATTTGTGCCGTGTTATGAATGCATGCGATGCCAGTAGATTACTTTCCTCAGCGCCATTGAAGAGAAATACTATGGGGTGCATGAGCGGCTGCTCTGACTTGGAAATCACTCGTAGAGCCTCCAACATAATCACAATCATTACACCATCATCTCCAGCTGCCGGCGAGTGCGCCTCCGAGTCGAAGTGGGCATTCACTAATAGATACGAAGCGGTGGTTAAATTTCGTGGCGCCAATTTCACCACCACATTGGAGACATTGTGATAACTGGTGGCCATGCCCCACAGCTGGAATTGCCCCGATGCGTATTGCAACTCAACTGCGATATCGTAGAGATCAAGACGTGCTTGTGCTTTGATTTTTTCAATTTCGCCGAGTAAAAAATTCACTGCCAATACTTCGTTTTCAATGGTGCCAGAAAGTTTTACGCCGAATCGGCTCAATATGAGTAGTTGTAATTCGGCTCGTTCGCCTATGAAGTCGTCGGGATGTTGGTGTTCATTGCGCATGAGCAATGTTTTTGGATAGTTGTAGAAGCTGGGTATGGCGACAGCATAGAAAAGCAAGAACCAGATAGCGCAGTAGATGGGAGCCCAATACCAATCCAATTTCTTTTCCTTATGCGCAACACTGTCGTGGTGGAGATTCAGCTTTTTGACGGTCATGGCTGTGGAAGACAGCAGAGTGTACATCAGGCATTCAATTAACCAAGATTCTGAATAATCAAATTGTTTAGTATTCGAATTGTTCATAAAAGTATTCCGCAGTGCACTCGCGACAATAAAACTAGTCGACAAGAAATCCGACATTTGACATTTTACCATTCTTATGTAAAATTCACCGCTGAATCCGAAAAGTATTCAACACATCTTGGCTGAATCCGAGTTTGAAGTCAAAATACAAAAATATAGAAGAGGTTTTTGAGATATGGCCGAGTTTCCTTCGTTTGAGGTCTTAAAAAAAGTTACCTCAATTATTTGCAATTTTTTTGGATGCAGTTGGCCAGTATGGAAATATCGTTTACATTAGTGAAGTTTATTAAATTTGCTATCATCTATGTTCACAACATTTTCCAATCGGATTTGAATGTAGGAGCAATTCATTGATTTATCGACAATTTCCAAAATTTGTAAAGAAAATTAATTTATTTCCAATAGCAACTGAAACTCTGTAGGGTTAAATTGTCATTTCAAGGCAAACCTTCTTATGTGGGTCCAATAGAATTGATAAACCTAAACGTACTAACAAACACTGGGTGGATATGAAAAAAATGGAGGTTCCTTGACTTTAATTCTGTTTATTTTCTTACTGTTTCTTTACAGCCTGCGAAATATCGCTTAAAATAGCACTTACGTAGCTGTTACTAGTATATACTCTAGTTCAAATGTACAAAATACATATCTGGTTTGCTGTTATCAAAATATAATTAGTACTTAATTAACCTTATCAAATCAATTAAAGTGTAGTAAATGGTCTATCTGAACTGACCGATAAAATCAATAAATTTGAAATAAATTTGATGCGTTCTACATTCAACTCATTTTCCTTTCAAATCCGGCACTGTATAAAAGTCTGCCGATTGCTTGCTAAAAACCAATCGGATTTTAAAAATAGTTACATTTTACAACAAAAACAGCCTTTCAAAGAAATTCGTACCAAAGGGTTTGATTTTCTAAGGAGTTTTTTCATCACTCCATAAATAACCAAAAATGTTAGATAGGGCCGATTTAGATACAGCATTCAATATTGTGGTACTTACCCCGAAATCAAGTCCAGCGAATTAGTACCCCTATTTGTTAAATTGTATATATTTAAAACTAAAAAAAAAAAACATAAATCAATTGGATTAGCCGCAAAAGACCGCAAACATTGTGCTTGTTCCACGACTTGTCAATGCACTGCACATCTGTCCCAACAGCTACTGGTCTGCCTTTATAGATTAATGCTTTATTAATATTTTTTCATGAGAAATTATAGATAAGCTGTTATGAAAAGATCGTAGCTAACGAAGTGGTAAGTTAAGTGCTAATCAGCAACAAATGATAAGCTGTGTCGATAGTGTGGAAGTTGTAAAAGCCATGGTAATTGTGGGGGTTTCTCGCAGGAAACGCACAAAAAAAGGGTGTTGGAATAAGGGCTATTTTTATCATTATTCGTACTAAAATATTAAGGTACGTAAAAATTTATGATTTAACTATTCACATACATCCAACCAGCTATTTTGAGATGAGGCAAAATACTACTTATCTATAACAGAGAAGTGTTCAGACATACCCACATATATGTATGGTATATGTAAATCAAATCAAAAGCCTTTTGAAAATTTCATAAATGCTCGCCTAGTAAATAAAAGAAATCAATAGCACACAACCAAACGGTCCAAAGAAAAGTTATTTCAAGTCATCAATATGAAACGTCGATAATTTGAACCGAATACACAAATAAAAAATTTGACTCGTTTTATTAAGTTTTCTTATATATTTATTGATTTTAATACCCTACAGTTTCATACAAAATAAATAAAAAAATGCTCATTGGCAAAATTATGCGTTTAAGTAGTTAAAATACGCAATTAAATACACGCATACACTCATATACAGTTGTATAAATAACTAAAGCTGGACTTAAAACAGTCGTGTCTCATAATATGCCGGCCAAGCTATCGCATCTACATATTTGGGGAAGCTTTGAAGGAACTTCTTAAATTCCGCTGTATGTGCACTCTCATCATGATTCCAATGTCCAGCAATGCCAATTTCAAATATTGGCGAGCTCCAGTCCTCTGAAGGATTCTGTGGGTGAAAAAATTGTTCGTGATGTAATAAATTTGGTATAATATTTTTTCATTTTGTGCATATTTATATAAATGTACATATATTACTTTAACTTCAAAAGATCTTACGACTTTATGACTAGATAAATTTTATGGATCGGGTACCATGATATCTTTCCACATGCTTTAACCCTTGATATGATATTTTTTCACATGACTTCCGGTGATATCATATGAAACTATGCGGATTATATAATCAAATGCAAAATGTTCACATATGGTATCGGTCACGTGATAAAAGGCAAGTATTACTTGATCATGCGATCTAATTCATTCTGTCCGTATCCGCGATGTGATTTCTGTAGAGGTCCCTTGCTATTTTGTTACATGATTAAATGTGCAGTGTGATTGTCCAATGTGTCAAAATTATTTACATGGTAATTCAAAATATAAGTTTTCATAAAAAGTGGACTTAGCAACTTTTCACTCTAAGCTAGCCATATATATGTATTTCTTTTTAAAACAATAAAAGCTAAACTTAAAAAAAAATAACATTCAACAATTTTTATAGAGCTTGAGGCCGTTTTTAATGAAAAACTAATTCTAACAAGTAAGAAAGTCTAAGTTCGGGCGTAGCCGAACATTAAATACCCGGCGCAAGTATTAAGTATGGTTTTTCACCTTACCGCTACCGCTAGATGGTAAGACGGGGTGTATAAATTTTGAGTAAATTAGCGTCCTTAAATTTCGAAATATTGCAGTTTCAAGCATTTCTGAAATTTACCGTTATATGAAAAACGGCCGTAATTTTAGTCCAATTTCAATAATTTTCAACGGTTTGCTTTTATGTGGCAAGGGCAATAAAAATACCGAGTTTGGTACAAATTGGTAGAACGGTTACCGATATACATATATGTGATCATAAGTGGGCGGTGCCATAAGTGGTTATTGAGCGATTTTAAAAATTTTCGGCCATTTGGTATGTTATGCGAAGGCCAACACTGTGCCAAGTTTGGAAGAAATTGGTGGAGCGGTTACCAAGATATACACATGTAACCATAAGTGGGCGTGGCTACGCCCATTTTCAAAAAATTTATAATATTCTTATTTTTTGTCTAAAAATTATTATAAATATCAATTTTGAGTGAATTATCTTCAGTAGTTACTAAAATATCGCAGTTTTCGTATTTCTGGAAATTACCGTTATATGGAAAGTGGGCGTGGTTACTGTCCGATTTCGCCCATTTTCAATACCAACCTACCTTGGATTATCGGAAACCTACATACCAAATTTCGTTGAGATATCTCAATTTTTGCTCGAGTTATCGTGTACACGGACAGACGGACAGACGGACAGACGGACAGACGGACGGACAGACAGACATGGCTTAATCGATTTCTTTTTTCATTCTGATCATTTATGTATACATTTGTCTATATCTATCTCGATTCGTTTTGGCTGTTACAAACAACCGTTATTTGAACAAAATTAATATTCCCTTGTGCACAAGTGCGCTCGGGTATAAAAATAGAATTATTAACCAAAACCAACAACCACATGATCAAGTGTGAATAGCAGACGAATAGCTGCGCTTGATAGTGTTGGCTTAACACATGAAAAAGTGGGAAAAAGCAGCGATAATTTACAAGGCGAACTTTGCACAGTGCGTAGGCAACAGGCTGAGTAAGTGGGATCGTCGGTTCGAATCCTACTGAAAGAAGTCTGATGAGGAAATGTGGTGATTTCCGAAATAGCTATCACTTCTACAATTTTTACAAAATATTGTTGCTTTTTTACAATAAGTTTTTCATTAAAAACGGCCTCAGCTCAATACAAAATTGTTGAATATAATTGTTATAAGGCCATAAAATAACAAAAACAAAATTAAAAAAAAAAATTAAATAAGAAACAAATAATTAATTAAAATAAAATTAAAAATAAAAATTAAAATAAATGAATAAAATATTAAGGAAGGTCTTGAAATGTAAATTATATTAAAAAATATGATTCTTTTAAAATAATGGAAATTTAAAGTTAACTAAAAAATAAAACAAAATAAAATAAGTTCCTTGACATTAAAAGGAATAATTTTTTTCTTTTTGAAATAATATAATCTTAAAATAAGGTAATAAAAAAATATATTTATTTTAAATTATAATATCTAAAACGTAAAATAAGATAAAATCAAAAAGGAAAAGAAAAATTTTACAAGTTTCTAAAAATTAAATGAAGTTAAAAAGAAAATGTCTTTATTTTTAAAATACTATAATCTAAAAATTAAAAGAAAATTAGATTAAAAACTGAAAAGAAAATAAATTAAACAAGCTACTAAGAATTAAACACAATAAAGTAATATGTTTCTGGTTTTAAAATAATAAAATCTAAAACTAAAAATAGAATTATATAAAAAGAATAAAAAATTTGTTAGAAGAGGGAAAAATGCAGTTTCTAAAAATTAAATGAAATTAAAAAATAATAATAATTAAAAGAAAACTAAAAGAAAATTAGGTTAAAAAAATTCATTTAAAAATATAAAATAAGTTTTTAAAAGTTAAATGATTTTTTTAAAATAAAAAAAAAAAAATTAAAAAAAAACTTTTTCCAATGAAAAAACTAAAAATTAAAAAAAAAATAGCAAAAAAAGAAAAGAAAAAAGTTCCCAAATCTTAAATGAAAACAAAAAAGTATTTTCCTTTTAAAAAATATATTAAAATTTAAAGAAAATTAAATTAAAAAAGAAAAGAAAAGATAGGAGAAATTTCTAAAAATTAAATGAAACTAAAAGAAAAAGTTTATTTTTGAAATAATGAAATCTAAAAATTAAAAGCAAATAAAAAGCGAAAAAAATAAAACAAGTTCTTAACATTAAATGAAATAAAAAATATATATATTTCGTTTTAAAACAATGAAATCTAAAAATTAAAAGAAAATTATCTAAAAAAATAAATTAAAAAGAAGAAAAATGTTAGTTTCTAAATATTTAAGGAGCTTAAAAAAATTCTATTGAAAACAATAAAATGTAAACGTTACATTTAAAAAAGAAGCAAAATAAAATTAGTTTCTAAAATTTAAATTAAAGTAAAAAATATAAGAATATTTTTCTTTTTGAAGCCATAAATAATAAAAACTAAAAAAAAATCAATTTAAAATTTCCGCTGCAGGAGGCTTCGAACCTCCGATCCCTTGAATGTAATGCCAATGCTTTGCGCACTCGGCCATTGCGACTGTTCGAATGGCACGAGCAAAATGATACACAAGTGCTTTCTGTTAAAAGAGCTTTTCACCATGAAAATTGGAAAGGAAGCTTAAATGTCTTGGCTTTATCTTGTCTTTAAATTGTCTCACAAAAAACTTTCAACTGTCTTAGCCAGAATTGCGCTGTTATTCTTTCCGTATTCTGCGGTCATGTGAAGTGACGATATGATTTTTTATTTTCATATAATCGCTGACTGGTAAAAAGTTTGCAAATCATATGATTTTTTATCACATCATCATGTCATGCGATCTGACGTGACGATATGATTTTTCCTTTTCATATTGCGAATCATGAAATCACTATTGTCTAAAAATAATGTTATTTTGTCATATGAATATATGAATCCGATGCAAATGAATGATTGGGTACATGATGTTATTCTATGAGTAGAATATTTTTCTACAGAAGACTGCCCAATCTTGATTGAATTTGTAAGTTTTTAAAGGGGTAAACTCACCTCTAATTCGAGTGTGAATTTCAGCGGGCTACTATCTTTGCCATATGAGAAATAAATGAAATATGGCGGCTTCCAACCCAAACGCAATGGACTATAATGGAACGACCAAGAGCTCATTTCACGGTCCTTCAGAGGATTGATGTATAAGCCCATATGGTCAGGTCCACTTAACTCCAGTTCATAACGAATTGAAGTTTTACTTAATTGATTTTTGGAAAGTAATTTCACTTCAGGCACTCTATCGAACTTGGGATCTGGACCGGGTATCCATAAACTTGAGGCACTGGCGAGAGAAACGAGAATTGGTTAAAGTCTTTAGTTTAAGAATTGCTGTTTGACACCTACCGCGCTTTATGCCAACGATGATTGTAAAGCGGCAGACCACACAACATCTCCGTTTCGCAATCTTTGTTGAGGTTTTGAGCCAAGGACATGTTGAGCAAGTGATCTAGAAAGAAAAAATGAAGAATTGTGTGAAAAAATGGAAATTATTTAGAAATTAAGATGCGGCTATTTACTTTTCACGGAATAAGTGCGACGATCCTGCGGCAAAATGAAATAGCCAGTCTCTAGACGTCGCACGTTATTCGTTTCATCGTGGAAGACGCGACGAGTGTGCTAAGAGGAAGATAGAGAAATCGTCAGTAGTAGATCTAATAGCTCTTATGCGTTAGCACTCACCAACACAGAAAAGCGTTGAATGTTAGTTTCTGGTCGATATGGGAAGCCAATAGGGGTCGCCGCGAATATCAAGAATAGAGCCGTGAAGGCGAGCAAAGAACAGATGATGGTCTTGGACTTATGGAACAGATTGAGAACTGGAATCTGAAATGGGAAACCATTTAAAAGTCAAGGAATAAAGCTCAAGTGGAGTAAGTAGCTTACCATAAAACCACCAGTAAGTATACCTACGCCAACTGTAAATGCGCAAATGATCAGATCTGGATTAACGCTAGCGCCAAAGCGGCCGGTCATCGGAATGAAGGCGACAAAGAAACCGTGTGAGAGATAGCCATAGAAGATGAAGGGTGGAATATTGCAGATGATGTGTGGAATAAGCCAAGGTAAAGCTATGCGAAAAATAAAAAGAAAATTCAAAATATTGATTGAATATTGACGGAGCAGATGCACCTACATTTGTTATGCAGTTTGGTGCTTAAATTCACGATCAAGCCCAAAGTGTAAAATAGCACTGCGATCATTAGCATGAAAGCCGAACGTATGCCAGCGATGGTAGCGATTAGTGTAACGAAGGCCAGGAAGAGGCAATGACAGTGTAGCAGAATTTGAACGCGATAGCCGAGCGGGAAGCGATCCTAGAAAAAAAAAAACACAAAATTACAACATACAAATTAATTTTTCTTTAAAGATCTTTCGATTAGCCTTACCCTCCGTTGCAAGTGGAAGTAAATCGCTGGCACAATGGCGAAACCGAAGAATAGCGGACAAAAGTACAAACCCATAATCAACCATGAGTTGGTGAACCAAGACATGGGCATATGCAGTACATCCATAAAGAATGCCATAAAGAAGCAAAGTGCAGTCGCAGTGATTACGGCGAGTACTTGTACACCGAAGAGCGTAAGAGCGCGATTAGCAACGTTGCCAAATTTCGTGCCAGTGCTGTGTGTCATCTGTTTGAAAGAGTATGTGCAAGTGGCAATGGCCACCAGCGAAACGAAGATATTCACAATGATACCCTCGGTTTCGCTGTAGAACACCAATGACCGGCCGAGTACATCGAAGAAGACGGTGTGACCCTCAGAGTAGCGCTGAAGGATGAGAAAATAGGAAGAAAAAGAGAAAAAATAGTGAATTTGAGACCATCGCTATTTAGATAGCAGCTTACCGAAGGATCTTCCAACTCGGGTGCATTGGCAATTTCGCGTACCAGCGCGAGCACATTATCACCTGTATGCTGGAAGGTGCCACGTGGTATGATCTCTGGCACATCGAAGCGTGTGTGATAGACGTAACCGTTGTACTGATGAGCCATATCCAATCCTATGAGGAGAGGTGAGCAAAAAAAGATGGCATAGAAACCGGTGAACAAGTTTTAGTGGTAATATTAGCTGATAATATTGGTGCTGGTATTAGTATTGGTATTGATATCAGTATTGGTACTAATATTAGTATAAGTATCTGTATTAATATTGGTATTTGTATTATTATGTACTGGTATTGCTAAGGGTACTGCTGTTAGTATTGGTGTAGCTATTGGTAATGGTATTGATAAAGGTGCTGTAAAAAATGTTCCCACACCTACCAGGCACACGTCCATGGTCGCGGAATATCCTAAAATCAGTGTCAGATGGTATAAAGTGTCGCTGGAACATTTCTTCCGCCACAGTGGAGGCATACGGATGCATTACAGCGCGTCGGTAATGCTGAAAAAGTGAAAAGAACATATCAAATTAATAATGCACGAAATAGCTTTTGTGCTATAAATTTAATGAACTTGCGAATCTTCATTTTTTCTCCACTGCATACTCACCTTCATTAACCAAGGGTGATTAGGACCAGATTGGAAAAGAATTTCGCGTCCACCACTGCCAGCTGAATCCAAATTTATTAAAGCTCTGTTGATTGTACGTTTAAAAAGTAATTAATATTTTAATGAGTTGTTGAAAGTGGATGGAAATTAAATGAGGAAAATTACTAAATAATTTAATGGGAAAGGCAAAATTAAGTGAGCAATTATGTTAGTTTAGTGGTTAAGTGAAGCGGAAAGGGCGGAAAAAAGAGTGTTTTTTTTTTTTACTTACTTGATATACTTCGCCCATTTATGCTGTGTGATGAAAGCGTGTGATGCCTGTAGTGGATTTTCCTCAGCGCCATTGAAGAGGAAGACGACTGGATTGCGAAGCGGTTTGTCCGATTTCGATAAAACCTTTGTTGTCGTAGTTATTGAATAAAATAGTTTTATTATTTGAAAATAACGAGAGAAAAGTAAAATTCCACTGACTTACGCGTACGGTCTCCAACATTATGGCCACCATTGTGCCGTCATCACCAGCGCCTAAAGAAAATAATTAAATAAACACATATTGGAGATCTGTACAAAAATACTTTACTTACCTTTACCATGCGGCACGGAGTCGAAGTGACTGTTTACCAACAAATAGGATGTGCTATTCGTGTCCTTTGGGCCAATTTTAATGAGAAAATTCTGTATACCCTGATACATATTAACCATGTCCCAGTGACAATAGCTGCCCGATGCCAGCTGCACATCACCCTCAATTTCTAGTGCAGGGTTAGCACCAGCTTGTAAATCTTTCAATTTCCTCTGAAAGTATTTGATGGCATTTTGCTCGTTTGCCTCACTACCCACCACACGCGGCCCCAATGCAATGAGTTGTGCCAAATTTTGCTCGGCTCTTTCAGCTATAAAACGATCCGGATAGCGAAATTCATCCGCAATATTAATCGGTTTGGGTAATCGATGATAGGCGGGTATGGAAACGAAGAAGTAGAGAAGCACCCAAGAGGCAAGGAAGACAGGCGCCCAGTACCATTTGAGTTTGCCATGTTCAACGAAAACGCGCTGCCAAATGCTTCGGGTCTGTAATTATGATTTGAATTATTATATAGGTAAATAAATGTGGTAATTCGTTAGTAAAAACTTTAGATTGGGATGGGATCTGCAGGTATTGAGATTAGATAATACATATGTACACTCGCATGCATTTGAATCAGGACAATACTTTTCGAATTTTTCTGGGTTATTTTTCTTTTATTAACTTTCCAATATTTTTCAACTAAAATATAGTTAATTCTCTAATCAAAACCATAAGAAGACACGCTTTACAATTGCATATTTTGTATGCCAAAAATTGTGGAAAAGTTCAGTACAAAAATTTAAAAAATCAACGGTAAGTTGCAGCTATATCAAACTTGCACTTTATTATATCAAAATTAAATAGAACAAAACTGCATGTCGAAAAAATTCTAAAAAGTCTGAGAAAAAAGTTTTAAATTTTAATGAAGCGAGTTTCAAAGCGTGTATTCTCGAGGCTCAGGAGCCGTGTGAAGGCGTAAATTGAAAGGTTACGAGAAAAGATTTTTAAAAGTCAGCTATAATTGAATAAAAATCTTAAAAATCAAAAGAGCCTATAAATTTTGAAAAAATTCGAAAAAGTCGGTATATATATATATATTTTTTTTTTGGTAGCAGTTGGTTCCGCCATACTGGATTAACCATTTTGAAATTCGCGATTCTGCCGTTAGAAGACAATTTTTGAAAAAAAAAAATCAGTCAAAATAATAATTTAAATAAATAATTAGATTAAGAATTGAGGCTCAAATTGATTGGCTTGGGGAATACAAGAAAATAATTTAATATCTCATAATTAATGGCTAGTTTGGATAAGCCGTGGTACTCATGGGAATTTCAGGAAAAACCCGAACAGGTTCATTAAACATACTGTTCTGAGATTATTTAAAGAAAGAAATCTAAAGAAATAACTACCCATTGCTTTCGCTCTCCAGTTGGTTATTGAGGGCAGGGACAAAAAAAATATTCCCTTCATCCTCTTCCTAGTAACTTCTGCCATAGCTGCTAGGCGGCCCACCTAGTCGATTATTGTACGCGTATCAGAAAGTGGGTACGTAGATTTCTTAGCTCAGATTTTTCGTGATACAACACCCCAACCGTTACTGCTCATCAGCGTGAGAACTTGTTTAATACTCGCAGAGTCCCTAGATGTTTGCCCAAATCCAGTAGAGTATTCCGCATGGGGTGCCCCTCTTACCACGAATTTCCTTATAGAAGAAAGATTCTTTAAGCTCTGCTTTTATAATCGGTAAATGAGAAGATTTTTCGCAAGAGCTGTCGGTATGTTTGAAAGGCTAAGTACACAGCTAAGTAAAGCCTCGTCAGCGCATTGATTTTTTGCTCAATTCTTTTTTTTTTTTTTATAAATAATACATTTTTTAACAGTGAAAAATGTTCTATATGGTGTTCCTTGGTTTTCCTTTGTTAAGGATTTGAATGGCATTGTGTCTGACTTAGGGCTGCACAAAATCTCTTTGTGTTGCAAATTTAGTCAGCTGAGATATATAAAAAGCTTTCGGGCAGAAAAAATTTCCTTTGGAGAACTAAAGAAAACAACTCTGTGTTTCATAGTGTAGTTCTGCTATCCCTGATGTGGTAGCCCTTATCGCGTGCCTTACTTGCTACTTGCTACAAGTTTTTTTTTTTTGAACTTTGAGTGGTGTCGTTATTGCAGAGGACCATCGCACAGTGGTTCGGATAGCAGATCTAGCTGGACGAAGGTCAAAATATTTTTGTTTTTAAAATATTTAATGGTACTTGGAATACATACCTGACAATACATTCAAATAGAAATTGCATTTATTAAAGCATTAACATATGAAAACAAACAAAAAAAGGTAAGTCTACGCCGCCTATTTGAGAACTCTATTTTAAAAGCTGAAATTTAACTTAAAATATTGATAATTGCACTCACAGTTATTTGCATAATTGCAAATTGACTTTATAAACAAAAAATTACACTTATTCTGCTATAGATGCAGAGGTCATAACGAAATTTATGTCCACATTGGTATAAGCAAATTTATTCTGAAAAATCGTCGTTTTGATTAATTAACAAGTAAGAAAGTCTAAGTTCGGGCGGAGCCGAACATTAAATACCCGGCGCAAGTATTAAATATATGTTTTCCACCTTTCCGAAAGCTACCGCTACATGCTAAGCCGGGGTGTATACATTTTAAGTAAATTAGCGTCCTTAAATTTCGAAATATTGAAATTTCAAGCATATCTGAAATTTACCGTTATATGAAAAGCGGCCTCAATTTTAGTCCGATTTCAACAATTTTCAACGGTTTGCTTTTATGTGGCAAGCACAATAACCATACCGAGCTTGGTGCAAATTGCTAGAACGGTTAGCGAGATACATATATGTGATCACAAGTAGGCGGTGCTACGCCCATTTTCCAAAATTTTGTCATAAACGTACTTCTTGGTAAAGAATTGTTGCAACCATCAATTTTGAATAAATTAGCTTCAATATTTACTGATTTATCGAAGATTTTGTATTTCTCGAAATTACCGTTATATGGGATGTGGGCGTGGTTATTGTCCGATTTTAGAAATTTTCGGCCAGTTGGTATGCTGTGCAAGGACCAACAACTGTGCCAAGTTTGGAAGAAATTGGTGTAGCGGTTACCAAGATATACACATGTAACCATAAGTGGGCGTGGCTACGCCCATTTGCCAAAATTTTGTAATATTCTCATTTTTCGTCTAAAACTCATTGCAAATATCAATTTTGAGTGAATTATCTTCAGTAGTTACTAAAATATCGCAGTTTTCGTTTTTCTGAAAATTACCGTTATATGGGAGGTAGGCGTGGTTATTGTCCGAATTTTAAAATTTTCAGCCATTTAGTATGCTGTACTAAGGCCAACAACTGTGCCAAGTTTGGAAGAAATTGGTGCAGCGGTTACCAAGATATACACATGTAACCATAAGTGGGCGTGGCTACGCCCATTTTCCAAAAATTTATAATATTCATGTTTTCCGTCTGAAACTCATTGTAAGTGTCAATTTTTAGTGGATTATCTTCAGTAGTTACTAAAATATCGCAGTTTTCGTATTTCTTAAAATTACCGTTATATGGGAGGTAGGCGTGGTTATTATCCGATTTCGCCCATTTTTAATACCATCCGTCCCACGCCCAAAAGAAGTTCACGTACCAAGTTTCGTTAAGATATCTCAATTTTTACTCGAGTTATCGTGTGCACAGACGGACGGACGGACGGACGGACGGACAGACAGTCACCGCTTAATCGATTTCTCTTTTCATTCTGATCATTTATGTATACATTTGTCTATATCTATCTCGATTCGTTTTGCCTGTTACAAACAACCGTTATGTGAACAAAGTTATAATACCCTTGTGCACAAGTGCGCTCGGGTATAAAAAGATAATTAATGTGTTAAACCAGAAAAATACTTGGAGTTATAAAAACTTTGGTTATGTAAGAGTTAACAAAATAGTAAATCGCGAATTTTCTGCTTTCTGAAATTAAAAAATTATACAACAGGCATGCAAATCTTTAAGCGTTGTAATAAATTTTTTTCTGAAATTTATTTGTGTTTCTTGCTGTGATATTAAATTTTAGTCATGGTAAAGAAAATCTTAAGAAGTGAGTTGTTTGACATTTGGAGAAGTGTTGCTGAAACTTCTAAAAGACAACAAGGTGTCCGTGATTGTGTGATTAGTAAATTGAAAGAAATTTCTGATGAAAATGCTCGTTCCGACATAAATAAAGTAAATTAAGTAAATGACTTTAGATTCGTAATCAGCAACCCAGAAAACCCCCAGATACCCAGTTTCATAGAAATCTACCGATTTTTTTTTTAATTTTCGTCCATTTTGAATTTTGAATTTTTGATAAGTGACTTCAGATTCGAAATCAGCGACCCAAAAATCCCCTAATTAAGAAGTGGTGTAAAGATCCATCAACGAGTATTTGTTAAAATAGTTTCGCCCAGCTAGATTTGCGCTCCGAACCACAGTGCATCGGTGTGTAAAAAATAAATATTTCATAAATTATTTTATTTATCTTATCTGATATTGATTAGACTTTGGCTGGAAATTGCATTCATGCTAACTGTTTAGACGCTTTGAAGCTAATGCGAATGTTTTATGACCTCTCAGCTTTGGGCGACATACATTTTTAGCAAACGACCAAAATTTTGTTGATAAGATTTGAAATATTTTGCTACTGTTTCGCATTTTGAAGCGTAGAAAATATCATTGAGTGGTTAAGTTTTTGTTTAGTGTTTATACATATGTATTCCGACGCATTCGGTAGTGAATTAGAATGCCAGAGGCGTGGATTCAATATCGTCGCTTGGAGCGTAATACCTCGTATCCGCCAAATGCAATACCACGTATAAGATAGTCCGAAAATTTTACAAAAGAGTGCAGAAATTTATTTCCTGCAAAACTTTTGAATGGTTTCCTACCTAAGCTTACAATAATTATGCACTATTAAATTTGTGAAGCAAGGAAGTATTGAGATAGGCTAACCAAAATAATTTTTTTTCTATGCCACTAATTTTCAATTTTATTCTTCTGGATATATTGCTTCGCGGCTTTGCTAATCAGAACACCTTTCTTGTTTGCTGAGATGGATTTAGGTACCTCACACCTGCTTGTGTACGAGCATATGTACATACACGCATACATATGTATGTGCATATCTTCGTTTAAAGTACAAACTGACATTTTTTGCTAAAATTGGATTTGCTTACACAAGCTCTTGGCTCAAGCCTTACCCATTCCTCCTGAAATATACTGGCCAGAAAAGCGATTGGTTTATAAATATGAGAACCATTTTGAAAAATGAGTGTTTTAGAAAATAATTTTTGCAACCTCACATACGCGGTTTTGTACTTTAAACGACGAAATATAAAATGAAGACGTCAACAAATCTTGTAAATAATCTGATGTGTTCATTACGTCGCCGATGCTCATTAGCTCTATCTCAAACTCTATCGGATATACTTTGGCTTATCCAGCCAAAGAAAACTGTCAACGACATTTAACTAAACAGATGATATACCTATGTATGGATGTATGTACATAAGCACATTGCCATTTTTGGCGGTAACTATTATGATAACTAAAATAAAACAAAGTGGTGTTAAACCAATCCTTTAGCCGGAAAACAAATAAAAGCGTTGCTAATGAAGTATGCGCCAGTGCAGAAAAAAAGACAAGATATTTTAATACTCTTTCGCAAAAATAATAACAAACCTATTACGTACATATGTACATACATACATAAATATTTAATGTATGTTTGTTTATATTTGCTTAAATTACTAATACTGCTTTTAGCTTGGCGAAAAAAACAACAACAAATATAACCGTGAAGGGCTTATCAATATTATCAGCATTGAAAAATAATGATAAGCACCTGGACGCATAAATGAATATTCCTTGTACAAATTTATTAGCTGCTGATTTTCTGTGAATATAATTTATGATGCATATTTTTGTTTTAATATATTTAGTTGGAAAAAATATGAGTAGCTTAAGTACTATATAGTAAACTGATCAAGTCCAAGGGTGAATGGGGATTAGATGTCAATACGTTTTTGGCATTATAATTTGGAAACAAATTCACTTACTACAATCATAAAAAGTGAGTAGTTGCTGGCTAAGTAACTGGAGGCACGAGTAGTATATACAACATATCTACATATTATATCTTTTATATATATATCTTTGCCAGATCTTTGATCTCCTTGTAATTCAGATGGACTTCCACCTACATACATATATGTATATTGTGTCATTTCATGACTATCATGGAAGTTGTTGTCATATCTTCTTTCTGTGAAACGGTATCAGGCTTTTACGGAATTAACGCTAATGAAGTCAGCTGTTACGAACACAACCGTTTTTGCGCGAGTGGTAACCGTGGTGGCAGTATAGCATCTTATGCGGGCTCGACTCTTTTGTTAAACTTCTGCTATTGAGTAGGTAGCTCAACATATTGATTCGGACATAGAAACACAGAAGCTAGGAAACCAATTTATTACTTGTTCAACTGTGGAGCAAGCCGCGGGCTCAGGTTGAGTTCAAAGCTAGTAGGGCAATGTCCGATCTCTCTTGCGGTCGCGTCTGATTATTCCCTGCGTTTCCATTGAGTTGGCTACTAACAGTACAATCGAGGCATGGACATCGAGAAAGAACTCTTGGACACGTGAGATTCATACCAGCTTGACGAGCATTGGGTTATCTAGAGACTCTGACAGGGTATTTTTGGCAAATGATGGAGCAGAGACGCCCAAGTTAATTTCTTAGGAAAACAAAGCTGCGGCTCTCAAATGTGGTGGCTCTTTTTAAAAGGCCTGGTATGAGCGGAATTTAGCGCCCCAGCGTTTTCGAGGTTGTTTTCTTTGGTGCGCACTTCATTCTCCGCACTCCGTAAATTTCGCAATGGATTAGCATTAACCGCTCAACAAATATTATTATAATAAAAGATTAATGTTTACGGTCGCAGTTAGCCCTTATGTATATTGGACAACCAATTAAGCCTAATCTAATCGAGCCACATTAATATAAACCTCTATAAATGGTTTTGAAGGGCACTTACTTAAAATAGTAAAATTGTGTGTGTAGTAAGTGGTATAATGAAGAGCAGAAAGAAATTAAGGGGAAGTGAAGAAATGGATAATAAACGAATTTCTATACAGTGATTCAACATCAAGTTTTTTATACTAAAACATTCAGAAAAACGTCCCATCGTATCTTTGGTGGATGCTAAAATTAAGTTTACACTGAACATTTGTAAAAAAATTCTGATAATAGATTTGCGGGGTTATACATATGTATACACTTTTGTCTTAAAAAAAGTGAAAATGCAAAAATTTTCGTGTTTTAAATATTACGAGTCAAGGGATTGCTAATATCTACCTTTTTTATTTTTTGAAAAGTAAAAAAATTAGGGCAATGAAATTATTCGTATTTAGTGCAATTTTCTCAGGAAGGGTTTATAAAACTATCTGCCTTTCAAACACATTTCTTCAAAACAAAATGCATATTTAAGGGGCTAACAAATTTCAAAATTTTCTTGAGAGAACAACCCTTAATTCACTTAGGTCCCTTTTTATGCGATACATGCGTTCCTCAGAAAGCCGCACAAAAAAAATCCACATACAAAATTTCATACTTTCATGCGTTCCAGCATTTTCAAAAGCCGCATAAATTCAGATACTCCGTGTAAAAGATTCTAAAAAACCGCATAAAAAATCCAGTGAGGCAATATTAGGAAAAAAAAAACAATTTATTTCTTCACTTCAGCACTTATTATTTCATGTAAAACTGAACATTAATGAAATAAAAAAATATTATCTGTATTTTAACAAAAAAAAAAAAAAAAAAATACCACAACAAATACATGAATTATGTAAAAATATATATAATAAGACAAATTATTAATATGAAGCATGGTATCTTACACACTGAAAAAAAACTCATAAAAACTCTCAAAAAAGCAAAATCGCTACAGCGAAAAAATTGTTTGAAACCCCGCCTAAATTCAAATCCGCTTAAAAAAAACCGCATAAAAAGAGACTTAAGTGTATATATATTTGGGATAGCATATATAATTTTTTCACACTTACAATTTTTTGTTATTATTTAAATTTCACAAATATTTAAATCATAAACATAACACACGAAGCACACAAAAATTCGTATACGCTTAAATTACTTGCTCTTGCCAATGATGTGCTGGCGGGAACTGTGATTGATCAGTTTGGAGCGTGTTTGCTTACTTTTATAATTTATTTTAATTGCACTTTGCGGATAGCTGATTTTGTTTTCTATCTAAATTAATTACGAAATTATCGTTTTGCACTTTCACCACTGATATCACAGACTGAGTATGTATATACTATGTGCATATATGTCTTTGTTTGTATGTAACTTTTCTTAAACTACACCTTTTAATTTAGTTTTGATTTGTTCACCAAGTTCAAGCGCATAAACATTGCAGCACACACAAACAAAAGCAACAAAAAATGCAGTCAAACTACTTACTCGTAATTCCGCGCCGCGCTGCTGCAACAGCGGATCGGAAGTGTGCGTATTGGTATTCGGTGTCATCACGCGTCGTCTGACTTCGCCCTTACTGCTCATCGTGCAACAACCAACTGAGCCACTCAACAAACTAATATTTATTGATTCACTAAACTAAAACTAGCCAAACATTTGATTGGCTATATTTAATCATCGAAAATTGCACAGAAAAAAAGAGTACAAATTTGACACGATAAATAATAACAACACGCTAAAATTAGGTAATTGTTGACACTGATTAGTACGAGTACAGCCGTTGACAATAAAGTGGTTCTCAATGCTTGGCTTGCCTGGTGCTCGTATGGAATAAACTCGAATATACACTCAGCTCAGTGCAAATGGAATAATTGGCCAACCAAAGCCGGTGACAAATGCTTACATACTGTCTGACTGCAGCAGCGGCATGGCATGAGAAGCATGGAGAGCGTTATCGTATGTATTAGGGCTGTGCGATTATTCGATTACACGAGCAAGTTGGTTAATCAATTATTGGGTTAATCAATTACTCGAGTAATCAAAATTTTGATTACTCAAAACGATGATTAATCGAGTTACTTGAAATATGATTACTCAAAAAAAATAATTTTGCTCGTAATAGAGTTTGCTTTGGAAAATGCTTATTTTCTTTTTTACATTCTGTGTATGAAACAATTTTTTTTTTAATTTTTGAAAACAGAAACGTTGTTTTCAAAGTATCAAGGAACTTTAACTACTTTATACATATGTAAAGAGTTGAAATGTTGATTACTCATTTTACTCGAAATGTTGATTAATCATAAAGCATTTTACTCAAATATTTTTGTTTTTGGTTAATCAAAAATCTTGATTACTCGAGTAACTGAACTTTTGAGTAATCATAATTTCCAATTAATCGAATAATTGAGTTATTTACTTTATGGTTAATTAAAATTTTGAGTAATCAATTAATCGCACAGCCCTAGTATGTATAAATATTCTGCACATTGAGTAGATAATAAATACCCTTGGATGTAGGAAAAAATTCAGCGTTGTCCAAGTGCTCTCAACATTTTATACATTTGTATGTTTGTAAGCATTAGCACCAATGCTCATTTGCCGCCGGCAAATTATACAAATTGGAGGAGAACAGAGAGAGAGAGCGATCGATTGGAAGGTGGTAGGTGAGTCAGGGTTTTTGTTGCTCTCATATGGAAACATTGCATATTTTTTATTACATGTGAATACATACATATATGATATATATGTTTAGTACATATTTACACTAAAATATGGTGAAATGCTTTCTTTTTTTCTCTATATTTATTTATTTTATGCCAGATTTGGGACACTCTCTCAATTTTCGTTTAAAGCAGCATAGTTTGGTTTATGTATATTTCAATCCGGAAATTAGCAACTCTGTATGCTGGTGATGAGTAAATATTATCGTATTCATTTTTATTACAGTGATGGCAAATTTTCTCACATACAGTTCATACAGTGTACAAAATTATTATTTAAACAAGTAATATTTAAGCAACGACCAAAACCCACTTCAATTCTGATATATAAATTTAAGAGTACCGTTAATTTCTTCATGATCCAATTATCGAATCTAAACCAAATTAGTATGGGATCACCTCTGCGGTACCAACTTTCCTTAAAAAAAATTATAGAAATCGGTTACCGTGGTCCAACGTTATATGTTACCAACTTACATAAAAAAAAATATACCGACGAACCATCTCTTTTTTTGAAGTCGGTTAAAAACCGTGATAAAAAGTTGTTTATGACTTCCAAAAATTTTTTGAAATTTTTGTCTGGTCCTTTCAGGGATTGTAGTATGTAAATTTAATTTCTCAATAAAAATATTAAAAAATAAAATTTATTTTACTTTTGGGGAAATTTTTGAGATTTTTCAGGATTTCCGAGGGATTCTTCGTGGTTTATTTTCCGACACATTTTTGGGACTTTTCAGAATTGCCAGTCTTTATTTTTGCGGAACTCTAAATGTGCTTTCGGGATTTTTCGGGATTCCTCGGTATAAGATTTTCACAGATCTGGTGAGAACTTTTAGCAACTGTCAGTTTTTTGTTTTTGTTTATGTTTTGAAAGTTTCTTTATATCCATCTGGTGTTTTCGCATTTAAAATTTTTAAAATTTTTGTGTTTTTTTCTTGAGTTTTCGAAATTCGTGATATTTTACTTTTCGGAAGCTTTTGCGGGTTTATAGTATTTTTAGTTATATTTTTCGGGTTATTTAAGGGAAATTTCGGAATTCTTTGTATCCAGTTTTTCGGTACTCTAAATATTTTTTCTCGGCCTTAATTTTGAGGTTTTTGCGGTTTTTCCCGATTTTTCTGAGCTTTATGGGATTTTTCCGAAATTTATCGTTACCTCACGGGCTATTTCAGGAGCTTTAGGATTTTTCGGAGATTAATTTTGGTGAATGCCGAAAATGTGAAAAGAAAAATTTACGGCTTATTTTCCGATGAGCAAATATTTTAAACCAGGTACATGTTCTTGCTTTATATCATAGCACAAAAAAAAACAATAAATAAGATTATGTAGAAAAGTTCAATGTCTAAAATGAACCCAATTTGGCAAGGCCCAGATACATAAAAAAAGCTTAGCTTTAGCTTCTAAGTCAAAAAAGCAAATTTTACCGCTAAGTTGATTCGACATATTGCAGTGTTGAGTATGTATTTGCTTTATCAACACTGTGCAAACACTTTTAATAATTTTCTACACAAACCTAGCACAAGTTGGAAGTATAATTTTTTGTAATATTCTTCCCCGTATTTATTTAATTTATTTGTATGTCGGTTGTTTGCTTAAATATTGACACTGCTTTCAAAGAATGTGTGAATAACAAAGAATAGCCATTGGGATAAAAGTATTTTGGAATTAGCAAATATTAACTTAAGATTAATGCTTTTATGCTAATTCTCAAAAATAATCAGGAATATTTAATGAATATGTTAAGTATGCAAATAACTGTTCCACTAAGAACGAAATTACGAAAAAGGTAAAATAATGTTAAAAGCGTCACCCGAATTGTTATTGTATTTTTTTTGTATAAAATAAATAAATGCCATTAACTCTTAATAAATCATGAAAATTTAAAAATTAACAATATTGTGATGAGGATTGGCATGAATAAAAGTTATCCATAAAAATTTACTTTTTTGATGCCTGAAAAACGTATAGGAAGTGTTTTAATGCACATCGTAAATACGAGTAATTTTCTATTTATTTTAGCATTTTTACAAAGTGGCTAGAACTTAAACTTTGCTTCACCAAAATTATCAAGTAAATTTGGTTTATTTACCTTTAAATTTGCAGTTGTTGTGTTTTGTTTATTGGATTTTTTTTAATCTTTTTAAAATAATAAAAGGTCTCGTATTTACTGAAAGGTTTTGATTTTTTATTTATTTTTGTTGAAAATGACTTCCCAAAGCCAATTAATTCATATGATTGTTGGGTTGGATGCGCAAAATTAATTGCGTAATTGCTGTGTATTAATCTACTATAAAAGTACAGTGTGCCGTAATAATGGTTGTACTACGAAAAGGTCTTATTTATACATATACACAAGGAGAGAGGACGCACTTTCCTCGAGACGCTTTTTAATCATTTCGTTTCCACTGCTATATAAAGTATTGGGCCGTGTGAATAAAAAATAAGCAATTGCTTTTTCTTAAAATTTAAAATCTTTTACTCAATTTATTTAAACAAAATTGAAATAAAAGGTATGAAATTTTAAGAAAAAGCAATTGCTTAGTTTTTATTCATACGGCCCATTAAGGTGACACGCCATTTTTTTTTTAAGAAAAGAAAATTAATGTGGATTTTAATGAGCGTATGTAAATAGTTAGATCCGATGGGATTGTGGGCCGCTGAAGAATCGCAGAAGATGCATTCTTATTTGAAACTCTGAGACTAGAATGCTATCGTTGACTTGCGTCCGTCTGATCACTGCTTTTTTTTGAAGCGAGATATGACATAATTGTCATTCACCTAAATGGTTATCCATGCAACTGACTAATCACATTTTCACGACAATTAACACCACGATTACATGACATTACCACTTTCGGTCGTTGACCGATTTGGCACTTTAACTACCGCACTCACATTTTCCTGCTTCCTTCTCGCCTCGCTGCACATTTTTGCTCAATCAACGCACTATACTACACGAATAAAAAAAATATCTACATTTCATCAAATTTGATGAGAATCCGCGACGTGTGATATGAGCACGCACGCAATCGCTAAACTGTCAAAAATTATTTAACTTTAAATCACAGGTAGTTAGTAGAAAATTTCACCTCGACTTGGCTTTGTAATCCGAGTATGGAAGAAAAAACAAAAAAAATTACACCAAACAAAAATTAGAAGAAGAAGCTACGCTTAAAAAGCAACCGAGTGAAGTACCACAACCCACGTTCGAAAGCAAACATTGGCTAGCCAAGACCGCGAAGTGAGTAGCCGTGGAGCCGAGCCAACAAACGAAAACGGAGTTGCTGGCAGCTAAGCTGAGCGTAGACTAAATGGGAGTGTGGCTCAAAGTTTGGACTTTGCTTTCGCCGCTGCTAAAGTTGGCTTCACGTGAATCTTTCACATGTAGTGTGCACAACAACAGTGCACCGAATACCAATATGGATGTATGCAAATATGTACACATATACATATGTATGTATGTACAATAATGAAATGGGGTTCAGCGAAAAAAGTTTAATGAGACACATAATTGTATGTATTAATGTTAATGGTATAAACTTCGCAAAACTACATATCTATGTATGTATGCTAGGGTGGAGGTTATCAGTTCGTCGGAATATTTATTTTTATTTTTTTTTATGAATGTATGTAACCGCATAACTTTGGACCACGTCAACCGATTTCGATAATCATGCAAAAAGATCGGAAAGGTAGTGTCTCAAAGGTGGTCCCATACTAAAATGGTGTAGGTCCGATCATTGGATCATGAAATATATATATATATATATATATATATATATATATATATATATATTTTTATATGAGAAGTGAAATCGTTTTGTTTTTGCTAAAAATTACTTGTTATTTTGTATTAGTAATGATTTTTAATGGGTCTCCCATTATTTTTTTTTTTTTATTTATATATATGTATAATCTGTAATATTAAAAAATGGTTTAATTAAAAAAATAAGGGTATATTTTTCGATATATCATGATCCTAATGTACACTATACATACATACATATGCATGTATATGCGCTTGTAGGAAAAGTTTGAGCACCGGACAAAATGCCATCAGTTGATGTTTTTTTTTGTCAAATGCGAATGCCACAATAGTGACGCTTTTTTAAGTGAAGGGAAAGAAGGCGAACTTAAAATATTGTTAAAAAATGCTAGTTTGCAAGCAAACACAAAAACAACTTACACCAA